TATGTATGTATGTATGTATGTATGTATGTATGTATGTATTTACAGAGGTTGCTGGGACGACGTTGAAATGAAAACTGGAACTGAACTGATTTATACCAAGCTAAGGCTCGCTTATATAATAAACAAAAGCCACATCTCCCCAGTCACGCAGACGCACATCCGCAGGGTAACAAATAAAGACCGGACCAGGCCGGGGTATCACAAACAAGGAAGTCTGTCGCCATCATAAAGGACTGACGCTGCTTCTCGGGACATCTGGGGGTCATGTAAGTGTCCGACTAGCTCGTAACATTAATCACCGACATCCAAAAACGGATTTTTGTGATGATTTGGATACTTCCATTTATAACCGAGGGACTAACTCATCCTTTACACGTGACTTGTGGGAAGCGCTGAGTTATACATATGTGCAATCCGAAATCTAACGATGCCGAAGTTATCAGGCGTAAAATTGTTTTAAGATTTTCAGCATATGCGAACTGTGGGAATTCTCACAGAAAGCGAAGCATGAAATTGAAATGGGTAGTGGTGAAGTGTGCTGCTGTTCAAGCCAACGTTGTGTCCTGCGATGAACGGTGGTGTTGCCTTCGCTTATTCAATGCAGAAATGTTTTGGGCCTATAAATAAGGGTCGAATTGAGATTTGATCATTCTCATTTTGTAATTTCAAAGGAAGACGGTTTTGTTGAGGTATAGTACTGCGGTGGTACTGTCTTCGTTGTTCATTGTGTGGATCAGTAGATTTTTTCCGAAGTTATCCGCGGATTTCACTTCATTCCCCGTTTCCAGCGTTCAGAATTTCTGGGAGGACAGCATTTTAAGCTGATTGAGACTCTCTCTGTCAAAAAGGGGTAAAACTTCAACCGTTGTCCTACTAAGCCGCTCGTATCATTTATTCGAGTAATATCTGATGAACGAATTTATGAACTGCTAAAGCCTTGTACGTCTTCGTTACGAAATCGTTATATATGCCATCGTGTTAGGTGTTTAGCTATAATGATTTGCACACAGTTTTACCGCACAGCCAATGCAGTAGTCTTTAACATATCATACGGAAGTGTTCTGATGTGAATTATGCTAATTATTGTATATGTGGAACAGTAGGTGATGATAACGGGACGATTCCTGGACGATGTACGG